ACTTTTTCCTTCATGCCTTCTCTTAGGAATCAGAAACTCCCAAGTTGACATCCTAACTCTGGAGGTGCTAAGTTCCTGGCCTCTGTTCTCTTGTTTATAACATGGCAGGGCTGCTTTCTGTTTCCCTGGAGATGTTGGAAGGCGTCAACTACACCAGTAAGAAGCTTCTAGAAGGGTGTGGAGAGATGAGTCGGAGGTTAAGAACACTTTTTGCCTTTGCAGAGCGTCTGAGTTCAATTTCCAGCCCCATTAAGTGGCTTACATCCTCCTATAACTCCGGCTCCAGGAGATATGACGCCCTCTTCTGGCCGCCTCAGTCACCTGCATGCATGGTGCTCAGACAGACAAGTAAACACACCTGTTTACACATATTTTTTTTTTTAATTGTAAGGAAGCTTCTAGAAGAATGGCTGGAATACAGGAACTTCTCAGTGCCCTGTCCCTTCCCATTGCTCCCAGCACTGATTCAACCAAAGAAGCAAACCAGAGAATCTCAGCCAAAGGGACCATCCACTGACACAGCACAAACAGTTTGTTCCAGAGGATACAGCTTGCCAGTCCTTGGCTGTATTGCTATTCATTCAGCCGCAGCTTTGCTATCACAAATCAGTGGTAGACGATTATAGTTAGAAATGCCCTCTGTATCGAAAGCTTTTCTACATTAACCCTCAAGTTATGTTGTAATGTATGGTGTCATCACCACCCCTCCCGTACCATCAGATGGCCCGTGGTTCTTCCTCTTTGTCCACCACCAAAGAGGAGAATCAAGCTCTGCCCATCAGAAACTGAAAAAACTCCAAGTGCAGTTTTCCAGACACACAAGCTATATTTCTCAACAGTTCCATCTAGTCCCTTGGCGAATACATCTGAAGGCTTACTAAGGGCCAGGTGCTGTGGTAGGCACTGGAGATAGAATGAGGGAGGAGGTGGGCGTAGCCATACCATCCACCCTAGAGCCGACCACTGGACAGTAAGGATGTCAGCCAACAAAGAAACTAATGGGGGTGTTGTTTCTAGTTGAGCCATCTTCAACAGACTCATTTTCAGATTGGGGGTTGAGGCCTGGAAGCTGGAGAGGAATGAGCTTGCCAGGCATGAGGAAGTATCCTGGCTAACGAGGAGAGAGCCATGTGAAGACACATCTAAGCCAGCAAAGGCAGGAGACAAGATTGGGCCAAAGAGGCAGGAAGCCCCATCCGTACTCTGAATCGGTGGTTCCCTGTCTCCGTCATAATTATCAGCATCACCACGTTAAAGGACAGAAGCCACATCAGCATAAAAATGTGCTTTGGTTGAATCAGGAGCAGGATATCTGGGACTCCCCAGAATCTTTGGTCCCCAAGAGAACCCCACAGCCATGGAAGATAATATTTTAAATGAGCAAGATGTCCAATGTACCACATTCTTTTCACTGACCACTAATTATATCCCTTAAGATTCCCAGAGCCCCATCTGAATACATACAGATGTACACGCATATGCACACACATGTATTATTGTAGATGAACTGGTCTTTCTAAACAGCCAGCAAGAATGGTCAGGGTGATAAACAGCTGACCCTCTCATAGAAGCGACCCGTGCCTGTGGTGGCCTTGGGTGCACACCACATTCTGATTTAGTGGTCAGTTAGTGGTCAGAACTCTTCCCCTTGTGGCCTGGTCTCTACCCAGAGCCACAAATACGCAGTCAGGAGGAGAGTTAAGATAGAAGGTCGGAGCTCAGTGGTGCAGTCCTTACCTAGGACGTCCAGTACCCTCGGTTCAATACCCAGCCAGGGGTGGGGAGAGTCTTTACCCTCTGAGGGTCTCTGTGTAGTAACAGGCTCTTGTCCCTTAAAAACATCTTGTCCCTTCAGAGATATCTGGGAGGCTGCTCTGTAAGTTATGCATGATTATCAGTGAGGATGAAAGTAATTTCTATCTGACCAAAAATATAACCTCAAAGTACATCATCATCCTACGGAGTATTGGCCAGTTTTGAGTCTGATTTACTCAACAGATTTCCGAACACATACACACGTTAAGCCCACCTCCTGCTGATCCCATAAACGGTTGGTGTCTTTGACTTATACTCACTATATATTTGTTCGAGAGTCATGTTTTTAATTTGTTAAAATATTGTGCATCCAGGTAAAGGTGGCTCAGTGGTTAAGAGCACTGGCTTCTCTTTGAAGGGAAGTGGCTTTGATTCCCAGCAATCACATGGGAGCTCACAGCCACCTCTAATTCCAGCTCCAGGGGATCCAGTGCCTTCTCTGTTCTGCAGAGGCACTCGGAATATAATTGATATCAGATATACATGCAGGTAAAATGCCTATATGCTAAAACTAAACAAATAAAAATTTTATGCTGTGCACCAACCCAGATGTGGTAGTTTATACTTACAATCCCAGCATTTAGGAGACTGACACAGGTGGATTGCTGTGAAGTCAAGGCTACATACACTGAGCTATACAGTAAGTTCAGACCAGCCTTGGCTATGGAATAAGACCCTATCTCAAAAAGTAAATATATACCTGTATCCATACATATTCACATACTACACATAGAAACATAAATACACACACATGTAGACAGATATAATTTATAGAACAGTTTTTTGTTGTTGCTGGGTGTTGTTTATTTATTTGTTTTTGTTTTGTCAAGACAGGGTTTCCCTATGTATCCCTGGCTATACTAGAACTTGCTCTGTAAACTAGGCTGGCCTTGATCTCAGAGATCCGCCTGCTTCTGCCTCCCTAGAGCTGGGATTAAAGGCATGGGAAACAGCTTCCAGCAAGTTTTTCACTTTTAGTAGCTTATGCTGCTCTTCTGTTTTGTGATTAACCGTTATGTAGTTAATGTTACGATCTGGATGCCATAAAGTCACAGCGTGCGATACTTCTCACATAGGAGGTTTACTGGAAAGGAAGGACAGCAGACTGTTAAGGCTCAGTGTCCTGAGTTTGATGTTCCCAGTTGACACAGTGAGATTACTGGTGTCCTGTCAGGACCTACGTTCTTGGAGAACAAAATGAATGGCTAAGGATGCTGTGAGGAGCAGACCTAGTGCCACATTTATGAGAAGGCTGGGCCTGAACTGGGGCAGTGACATGTGTAGAAATAGGAGGGAGATGAAGATGCTTAGAGAGGCATGAAGGCTTGTCTGGGCCCCTGGTCCTGATGGTCAGTATGTCGCCACACTATGTGCTCCATGTGCTCCCAGTCAGTATGTATGTCACCACACTATGTGCTCAGTGTGCTCCCCTTCCTGTTTCCGTTCATGCATTTTTTTTTAAATCATTTGCTTTTAATCTGTGCTGTGGCTTCCTCAGCATACTGCATGGCACTCAGATCACTCACAGATGAGTCTGTTGCAGTCAGGATGTAAAAGACAGATCTGCCAAGGCCTAAAGCTCACATCCAAAAGGTCCAAGGACATCGCTGTGAGAAAAACAAAGACACAAAGTAGCATTCCAGGGACATGACAGGGCATTCTTACGAAACTCGCCAGACTAAACTGTAGTGGCTACTCTCATCTCTGTATCCACGAAACCAGACCTCCAACGTGGCTTTGCCAAGAGGACTCAGTTCAGTGTCCTGGACCTTACAGCTAATCCCACACTGAGTTCACAGCTGCCTCAGGACTCTTGTCTGCCAGAAGTTTTGGCTGACTTTTGCCTGAACCTCTAGGGAGGGCTTGAAGCGCTCCTGATTCACAGGTTTGAAAAACCAAACTCAGAAAAACCACCTGGCTGTGGACTACACCACCACATCCTCAACCTGGCTGCTGACTACACCACCCCATCCCCCAAGGTGCCTGCTGGATTTCGGAGGCTGTTTTCTCTAGCTAGTCTCCATGTTGGAAGAGCTTTTTCTGCTCCACTGAATTTCCCTTAAGACAAGTTCTGGATTCGGCGTTCTGCATGTGAAACCATAGAGCCTGACTCTCTCATGGATAACTGTTTATCCCACCCCACCCCAGCACACATCACTCTGCTCTCCTTCCTCGCTGACCTAGGACAGCTCCATGACACCAATGGATGTCCTTCAAAGTTGAGGAGTATGCCTCTGGGGCTGGAGAGATGGCTCAAGTTAAGAGCACTTGCTGTTCTTAAAGAGAACCCAAGCACCCACATGAGGAGGCTCACGACCTTTTGTAACTCCAGCTCCAGGGAATCTGACATCCTCTGGGGGCACCTGCATTCATGTGACATACACACACACAGAGACACACATACATATAAATAAAAACAAACAACTGTGCCTCAGTGGGATAAGACTTCTGTCTTAGTTATTCTGTGAAGCGACATCATGACCAAGGCAACTCTTAATAAGGAAAACATTTCATTGGGGATGGCTTACAGTTCAGAGTCTTAGTCCATTATCATCATGGTAGGAAACATGGTGGCCTACAGGCAAACACGGTGCTGGAGAAGGAGCTGAGAGTCCTGCATCTCGAGCCACAGGCAGCAGGAAGTGAACTACCACACCGGGTATGGCTTGGGTATCTGAGAGGGCAAAGCCTGCCCCCAATGTTCACTTCCTCCCACGAGGCCACACCCACTCCCACAAGGCCACACCCACTCCCACAAGGCCACTCCCACAAGGCCACACCCACTCCCACAAGGCCACACCTTCTGGCCATGACACTCCCTATGGGCCTCTGGGAGCCATTTTCTTCCAAATCATCATAGCCTCCTTGCGTTTGGCTCGGATTAGAAATGACAACACATCGTGAGTAAATTCCTTTTAACAGTTTTGGCACAGCTGTGAGATTTGAGACAGTGGCTTAATCCAAGTAATTCCACACTAAGTGACATATCGGCACTGTCTGAGTGAGAAACCCGGCATTCTTCAGAGCCGTATGCGAGATAGAAGACTGTCATCTAATTCCTGACTTTCTCCACCATACTCTTGTTCAGTTTGTGATATTTGAAGTCAGGGCCATTATCAATACAGCCCTTTCCAGACATGAACCTCGGTTTCATGCTCTTACCTTTGTGCTATCTCCTAGGTGGTCTTCGAGGCCTTGCACAATCTGGAACCCCGTGGCTATGTTGTGGGGTGGATCATCGCCATCAGTTTGCTGGTGGGGATCCTCATTTTTCTGCTGCTGGCTGTGCTACTGTGGAAGGTAAGTCTGGAGAGCACAAGGGCCAGCTGATTTCCTACTCAGGACACCAGTTCTCAGGCCTCTTGAGGGCTGGGGAACCTTGGGAAATGTTTCCCTGCACAGTACAGGTATAGAGGAGGTCTAGCGGCCCCTTCAGGTGGAAGATGGAATCGTGCCTCCTCTTGGATCGCCTTAGAGAGAGAAGGGACTTCAGTGGCACTGCCACCATGGCTTTTCAGGAGGTCAGTCGGGTTCCGGTGAGATGATTGCTCCTGCAGGGGAAGCGATCTCATGATGGGTGGTACAGTGCTTTTCCGAGGTGACTACAGTTGAAGACAGTGTTATCTGTGATTTTGGCCTGGAGGGCAATGACAGAGCTTAGGTACTGTGGATTTTTATATGGGCATTCATTAAGAGACAAGTAGAGCCTGACCCATAGGTAAGGAGGCATACACAACCAGGCCGAGGTGGCTGGCTTTCACCCTGCTTTGAGTTATCTCATGGGCACAATGCAAATGCCTATTACAGGAAAAACCTCTGAGATTAATACAGGTGGGTGACTTAAATCCAAATACTTAGTTTCTTTGGGATTACAAAACAGTATGCATTGCTCAACTATGATAATGCTAAATAAAGTGTCACCCGGGGTTACATCTTGGAAAGGGCTGTGGTGAGCATGGTCTTGTCTCCAGCTTGGCCTGTTAATCCGCAGATGTGAGGGAGGCTTTCTCATGGGTCAGCTTACTCATTGACAATTTGCTAGTTAAATTATCCACCCATATACCCAGTATATGTTCAGATGAGGTACTTCTAAAGTGAGAGTCGTGGGTTCAGTTCCTGTCTGTGTACATTCACATGCTCAGCACACGCGTGTGCCATAGCCTACATCAGAGGGACAATGTTCAGGAGCCAGTCCTCTCCTACCATGTAGGCTACAGAATGCTGACTGTCAGGCTTGGTGGCAAGCGCCTTTACCTCTGAATCAACTCACCTGCCTCCCCCCTTCTTGGTTTTGTTGCTGTTTTGCTTTTTAATTTATTTTTATTTCATGTGCATTGGTGTTTTGCCATCATGTATATCTGTGTGAGGGTTTTGGATCTCCTGGAACTGGAGTTGCAGACAGTTGTGAGCTGCCATGTCGATGCTGGGAATTGAACTCAGGACCTCTGGAAGAGCAGACAGTGCTCTTAACCACTGAGCCATCTCCCCAGCCCTTCACCCTTGTTTTTGAAAGGTGGTTTCTCTTTAGCCTGGCGTGGACAGATGAGACCAAAATGGCTGGCCAGGGAATAGTAACAGCCTGCCTGTCTCTGCCTACCCAGTTATAAACCAGGACCAGCATGCTTAGCATCTTTTCACGTGGGTTCTGCAGATCAGAACTCAGTTCTTCATGTTTGCCCAGGGTGTACTTTACCAACTGAGCCACCTCCTCTGCCCGTGTGGGTTCAACACTCAATCTGGAAAACTGTATACCAAATGCAATTTAGCATATGTAGACAGCCTACAGCTCCAGGAGAACTGTGTTTAACATACTTTCCTCAGGTTGATAGTCAGCTCCATTGCTCTAAACCCAGTGGTACCTTACTTGAAAGAGGGTCTGGAGACTGAAGGAAACACATATGAGGGCACTACATGGAAATATGTCCGTCCTCCATTCCCACACATGTCAGATGTCCCTTGTGCTATCTGACAGCCTGTTGTTCCCTGGCAGCAATACTGTAAACTTCTCCCCATGTTGTTAGGAGTCCATTCCCAGCCACATCCTAATGACAGTGCCTACTCTGTAGTCTGCAGTCCCTCTAGCCCTAGAATCAATATTGTCCCTGGCTGAACACAGCTTGTAACAATGCCAGTGTGATTGACCTTAAAACCAGAAAGTTGAGCAAATCCTTCACTGTGTCCTTAGAGCGAAACCCTAGGGATGGAGGCGCAGAGGGATGTAGTTCACGTCGTAAGCTGCCCTCCTGAAATGCCACCCTGAGTCGCGGCAGGTTTAGCAAAGTGTTCATTTTCCTGTCTATGTGCCAACAGCAGGTATTTCCTCTTTTTGACTCCTCCAATTAGCCATTTGTTTACCCTTCATGGCCAGATACACTCTTAGGTCTCCCTCATCTCCAGCTCATTCCTGCTGAGAGGGCCTCTGGCCTAGGGGTGGAGAACAAGGCTCAGTGTCTGGAATCTGAAAAGGCCAGAGGTGGGTTGAGAGGGTGAACATCTGCCTTCCTGTGGGCTTTTGGAGTGAGAATAAAGCACTCTTGGCCCAGACACAGCGCAGGGAGTGCTGTGGCCATTCCCATTCCACTATATAGGTCACATGACCTCCTAATGGCCACCCCACTGAGCTCGCCACCCCGGGAACATCATATTACCTGTGCTCTCCTGCCTCTTAATGCCTGCCTTCCAGTATAGCTTTGCTTAGAGAGTGTGGTGATAGGCCATGGTCCCCGATAAGAACCACACACAAGCTGCAGGTCATAGCCTCTTTTCTATAGGACGGAACTGAAGGGCAAACTTGCACATACCACATGGTGGGGCCATTCTTCTTTGCAGGGCAAGAGAGAGGATACACATACTTCTTCCCTGCTTTAAAATATTATTACATAGAACTTGCCATCGTCATCACGGTTATGAGTACAGTGCCGGGTGGTGAGGGTCCAGGGTGGTGGATTATGTATCCCTGTGCCTTGTTGGTACTTAGGTCAGAGTGAATGTAGGTAAAAGCATGCTGCCCTCTGGTGCCTAGGAGAGCCGACTGTTCCTTATTGATCTCCACAACCATGGTTCCCTTCCTGACGTGGAGTTATCTGGAAGCTCCTGCTTGAGATGAGGCACAGGAGTTAGGTGACTTTTGATAACTGTTGGTTGGAGCAGCACCCTTGTTATAAAGACTTTCATCTTTTTCTAAGTCCATGATGGCACATAATGCCTACCTTCTAGAATCCTGTCAGCTGATAGATCTCAGGATTCTGGCCACCAAGGAGTGGTGTTTTAGTATTGGAATGAACACCTTCAGACACCTCTGCAGTGGTCCCAACTGGTTCTAGCTGGCCTTCTCCTGAGGGTTTCCAGCCTTCGACTTTGCCAACTGGTTCCTTTATGTGCTAACTTGGCAGCCTTTGTGTAAAGCTTTCTAGACCTGGCTCTCCACCCTGCTCCCCTGCCTCAAGGGGACTTTTCTCAACTGAGCTGTTATTTCAGTACAAACACGGGTTTGCTCAGAAGGTGAGGCACACACCCATGCTCCTGTATTTACTTGGCCACACACATATGCACATGTGTACACTCAGACACATACATATGCACATATATACACTCAGGCACACACCCATGCCTACACATTAAATTAATTTTAAAAATAAAAGTATGGCTGATAAGATGGCTCGACCTGCAAAGGTGCTTGCTGCCAAACCAGACAGCCTAAGTTCCCTGGAGCCTACGGGGTGGAGGAAGGGACAAGTTGTCATCTAATCTCCATGTGTACACTCCGGTGTGTACATGTGGACACATGAGAGCACAAAAATTAATTATATATTTTTTAAAAATCTCAGTATAGTCTTCATGTGAGAGGGTTGCCTACCATCAGGCATCTGGCTCTTACACAAAGAGGGATGGGAGAGCATGAGAAAAAAGTCTTGGTTAAGCACTGCATATTAGGCTACAGACATGTTGTCAACTCTGATTCCTACATCTACCACCTAAAAATAATGCATTATGGGTATCAGGTTTAATATCACACTGATGGCACAGTACAGAGAAGCCAGCTGAATCTGGCTTAAGTCCAGTCCGACATCTGGCTTGTCTGACCTCACCAGTTTGGGCTTACTACCATACTCTATGTGTAATCCCCTCCACTCCCCTCCAGGGAAGCCACTGGCTGCCACCTGCCACCCAGCTGGCCAGGAAATACATAATGGATCGATGGCCAGAGGTCAGGTTCTCTTCCTGTAGAGAAACATCTATTTCCTTCTATTTTTTAATCTTGTAGAATATTTATTTTGTGGGGAGTTGGGGGAGGGTGTGTTGGTCCGTGGACAACTTGCAGGAATGGGTCCTCTCCTTCTGCCATTGGGTCCTAGAGACTGGACACAGGCCCTCAGGCTTAGTGGTAAGCTCCTTTACCCACTGAAGTATCCAAGAGACCTCTGAGTTCCCATTCAGAGTGCCTCTGGGTGCTGTTGCCTGTGGTTGGTCATCTGTGTCTTATACACATGAGCCAAAAACGGTTGTCCCAAAGCTGCGTGCTCTAAACACAAATCCTGGTGCGACACTGAAAGCTCAGCTGGGGCATTCATAGTGATACACAGGCCTGTGGGTCTACACACTTCACACTCACAGGTGGCCAACGTCTTTATTCAACAGGTAGCATCGGGTCCCTGCTAGGTGGCAGTAACTGGGAAGAGAGGCAAACAACAGACCTCACACTCTCTTAAAACCTGTGAGAAAGGTACTCTAGTGGCAGAGAGGATCAAATATGACTTGGCCTGGTTCACAGCCCCTGAGCCTTGTGACATGTGTCCTGTAAGGTTCCTATCTTTCTGAAATATAAGCCCCTCTAGGTCCCACAAATGCCTTCTCCACGATGCTAAGCCCCAGCCCTTGCACTCAGCCCACCCAGCCTTCCCCCAACCCCTGCCATTACTGCTCCCCAAAACCTTCCTAAAGGACCTGCTCATGGCCCAGACTCTCTCACGCTTGGCGGCAAAAGGACCTGGCTCCTACACAAAATCCACAGCAAGGCCCCAAGCTAAGTTGAAATGGATCCTAATCAACCTCCTCAGGGCTGTGCCGTTCGCGGACACGGGGAGCTGTAATTTAAACTTGATGTGCGAGGGTTACAGTAGCCTGCCAAACCACTGTGCAGGAGGAAGACTTTGAAACATGAAACTCTTTCAAGGGAGAAAATCCAAAAGCATTCCCTCTCACTTGCGCCAGCTCCTAGCCAAGTTGGAAGACAACCCAGCCCGGTGCCTCTTCCTAGAGGCCTGTTTATGGGAAGGTTGAATCGTTCAGAGACACAAGAGCATGGGGTAGCATGTCTGAGAAACACCTTCAGCTCAGTACACTAACTAGCCTGAGCTAAGCAGAAAGAGATTCTTGGGCATTTGCCCTTTAGGAGAAAAACGCTTCTCTGCCTCCCCCTCCCCCTTTCCCCAGACCATCTCTTCCTGTCTGCAGTTTGCCAGGCGGACAGGCCAATCCTTCAGTGAAGGAGCTCACCCCCTGCCATCATCCAAGGATCCTCTTTTCTTTTCTGATTGACACTTTTTCCAAAACCAGATGATTTGAAACAGCATGCCATTGTTTCACCAGGAGGACCCAATCCCGACTGGTCAAGTGACAGAGAGGGAGGGTGCAGAAAGGGTTTGGCTCCCCTTTCCCCTGAAAAGAGCTACTCAGAGGCCAGAACCCTTCCAAGAGCCTGGTATTCTCAAGCTTTCTTAGAAAACATGGTTTTTATTGGAGAACATCACTAGCAACTTACAACAAAAAATAATTAACAGTGGACATCTTCGGAGTGGCACAGAGAATGTGTAAGATTTGGCAGCTACTCCAGAGGCCGCTGGGGTCAGCAACTTGCCTCCAAACCAGACTTCTCAAAAGAGTGTATAGACACATGCACACACAGATACACACTCCCACCCCAACCCCACTGAAAATCATGTGCCTGAAATGTGTGGAGGGACTGGTTTATATTTGGAGATAAATATTGGTCTAATACTATATCCTCAACATCTCGAGATGGAGACGTGCTATCTAAACAGTCAAGTAACTGAGAGGCCCATAAACACAAGGTCCAGAGCCAGTCCAAAGGAAGAGTGTGTTCAAGGTCCTTGGAATGGCTGGCCAAGAGATACCCCAAAGGCCAGTGCACAGATGGGCACCTCCAAAAGACTAGATGCCCTGGAGTAGTCTGTCACACGTATCACCCTGAAGTGGACTGGACCACAGGACTGAATACCTCAGAACTGGGTTTGTTCTCATCTTTCTCTGGCTGTATTGAATCACCCCGCATCCACCTAACCAAGCTGCTCAGGAAGAATCTGCCAGTTTTCTGGCAGGCTTGGAGACACATCCTGTTAGTCTATGGGGAGCTAGCCTTTGGGGGTTCAGACTTCTGTCAGGACTAGAAGGTACTCTGCTTCTCCAGGCCTCCAGCTAAATAAACCTTGAAGTGAGGCATGCCTCTCCTTCAAACAGGATAATTATAAACAAAACATCTGACCGCTCCTCGGAAGATTCCAGAAAGGACTCAGGAAAAATAACTGACTGCATTGGGTTGGAAGTGTGGGGTCGCTATGGGTACAGAATATGCTACTTGTTAATCATTTCCCAGAAGGCTCAGGGTGGACCGCCCAAGACTTTCCAGAATTTTCTCCCAAATACCCAAATAGTGCTAACAAAAGCTGGGTATGTATGCCCAAGGGAGGCCTGCAAGGGAGAAAAGTACATCAAATCTTGCAAGTTGTTGAGCATCTCATAATTTTCTCTGCTTTACAGTGTATCCATACTTTAACATGGGATTACAAATGTTTCTCGGGTCCTTGAAGTTTGCTGAGATTAACACTGAAGCTTTCTTAACACACAAAGGTTACCATATGAGCCAATGGCTGAGTTTTTTATTCTGATCACAGTAGACACTTCTCATGGGATACATGTATCAAAACATCATGTTTAATACCTTAGACGTATTCTTAAATCTGCTCCCTATGCCTTAAGCAAAAGGAAAACTCTTTGTTACTTACTGCTGGGGGTTGAATCTAGGGCCTGACTCATGCCAAAAGCAACAGCCCAGCCCAGGAAACAATTTTTAAAACTAAAACGTATCATGCTACTGATTTGTCAGCTGTTAATAACAGGGTCAATTTTTGCTTTTACTTTGTATATCTCCCTTCAGTATTTGGGTTCTCAGCCAGGCAGGTGGATCTCTGTGAGTCTGAGGCCAGCCTGGCCTACATAGTAAATACTAGGCCAGCCAGAGTTATATAGTGGTACACTCTCTTAAAATATATGTGTGTGTGTGTGTGTGTGTGTGTGTGTGTATGTATGTATATATGTATATACACACACATACATGTACACACATACATTTGCACACACATGTTGAACACATACACTCACACACACGTGTGATTCTCAAGAGTTTACCTGAAGACTCTGATTATGACCCTTATGATCTCTCATGGTAGACAGATAGTCTGTCTGCTTGTTTGTATAATTTTATGATGTAAAGATGACTGAAGGAAGAACAGAGGTGGGGCTTCTGCTCACATAGATGGATGAAGTCCTGACTCCTCCCTCAGATATTTAACTCTGAAGTCTGCTAAATGCCCAGGCATCTGGGGGTGAGATCCTGGCAGTAGGGGCAGATAGGAGTGGCCAAGCAGTATTCATGACACGCTGTGATAGGCTGAAGGATCTTGCCGCCCTTCCTGGGAATATGTGAAGAGTTATAATTAAGGCAGGTGTCTCAGGCATGGGACCTAACACTAGTTAGCACAGGGTACCATACAGTGTGGTGGCCATACAAACTAATGTTCATGCATTCACTCATTCATTCATCCATCCATTCATTCTTGGGGCGTGTGTGTGTGTGTGTGTGTGTGTGTGTGTGTGTGTTGCTAAGAACAGAAGCCATGGCCCTATACATACTAAGCAGATACTAAATGACTAAATCATTCCCCAATCTTCTTCCCTTTGTTCTCTATACCTTTTACTTCATCTGCCTGAAAATCTGGGTTTGTTAGAATAAGACCCTCTACTGCCATCTGTTGGGAAGTGGTCCTTGTAAACTTCTCTATGACATCTGGCAACCCCGATTCCACATGTGCACGCCTCTCCTGCACTGATGCACTCAGCCTTCCCCAGCCACGGGAGTGTGCTGTGCTTTTTAAGCAATGGCCTTTTGGAGAAGAAATGCACACCCGTGGCAACTCAGCCTCCCCTGCATACAATCACCCATAGGTTGACCATCGGGATCAGTACTCTTAGAGCCTGGGGTTCTGGAGATGAGAGTGGAGTTTGCAAGGCTATTTGGGCAGCTGGATTGATTTCTTTGAGAGGAAAGAATTTGCTCTGGTGTCTGCAGGAGGGGACAGCGCTTTGGCTTTGTTGGTGGCAAGAATGATATCCATAATGACATAGGCATGTGAGTGTCACCATGGCATTAGCTGCTCTAAGTCCTTTCAGCACGTGGTTTGGCCTATGAAGTGTACATGGTGCACATGCATACTTGTGGGCAAAACACTTCATGCACATAAAAATAAATATGTTTTTGAAAGATGGCTCTCTCCACAGCAATCAGTTCAGTCAGGATCACCCCCGCCCCGTGAATTATCCCCAGAGCCCCATCTCCCAGGTGACTCGCCATCCTTTCAGGTTGAAAATCGGTACTGACCGCCACAAGCTAGAAAAAGTTGCTTAAACGCTGGACAGTAGCAATTGAAGTGACTGTGTAAGATGAACCACTAGTCCTACCTTGTAGGAAAAGCCACAGGCCAAAGCAGCCTCAGGGCTGGGATAGAGAAGTCCTCTGAGTACTGAGCTGGAGAAAACTGGCAGCCTGGATCAGGATGGAGAGCCAGCCCTGGGAGACTCCATGCTGTTGATGCCAGCATAGACCATGAATGCCACAGACATGAGAGACGGTTCTAGATGACAAAGAGGAATGGGGTCCTGTGGATACTTTTACAAGTTTGTTAGGTGAGAGCAGTATTTGTCCAAAGATGGCTGCTGTCTCTCAGGACATTAGTAAGTTTGTATAAGGATTGAGGACATAGTTTAGTTGGTAAAGTGCTACACACATGTAAGGACCTGTGCCCATCCCAACACCTATATAAAGCCAGGCCTACACTTGCCATCCTGGTGCTGGGGAGGTAGTCACCATCAGATCCCTGGAGCTTTCTGGTCAGCCTGACCTACTTGGCATGGTCCAGGCCACTGAGGAATTCATTTCAAAAATCCAAGTGGACAGCTCCTGAGGAACACCACCTGATTCTGACCTCCACACATAAATATATATATACACATACACATATGCATACAAACACAAGCATATAAACACATATACATAAGCACACAGATATATATACAAACATACACACACATACATATATATACACATATGCATATCTGTACACATATGTGCATATACACATAGATACATATACAAATAAACACACATATATATATATACATATAAACAATGCACACATAAACATATGCACCTGTACACATAAACACGAAAACATATGAATACATATGCATATATGTAAGTAAACACACACTAAACACATATACATATATACACACATATGCAGGAGGAAAAACAGCAAATCAGCTCTAAAAATGGTGGCTTCTCCCATGGCTGGTCAGATTCTTTGCTGTACTATCACTGTACATTTGTCTATCACAGATGACTAGAAGAATGCAGCCTTATCAGACTTAAATGACTGTGACATATGTTCTTTCACCGCTCCAAATACCTTTGAGTAACCTCCAGTAAGTGATGGTCTCCAGTACCTAGTGCTGTGGTAACACTGTTGCTGCAGCTCATGTGAGGAACAGCTTGCTGGGAGATAGACTTCAGGAAGTCAGTGTGCTAACCTGAGACATTCTTCTAGCATCCCCAGCCCTGGGAAGGGCTAGGTCCTGCCTCCCCATGGCTCAGGCTGCCTTCGAATCCAAATGCAGTCCTAACACAGAGCCTCCTCTATCTTTCAGATGGGCTTCTTCCGCAGAAGGTACAAAGAAATCATTGAAGCTGAGAAAAACCGGAAAGAGAATGAAGATGGTTGGGACTGGGTCCAGAAAAACCAGTGACCCACTCTGCCAGTCATATGATGCCCTCACATCCCCATCACCAGCCTGTGGTCCTTGATCTTTGTATCTTCCATATTTGGAAGAAAGAAATCTTCTCCAGATTTTTCGGAGGCCCCACTGACGACGCTATTCTCTTTCTCATCCTGTCAAGCCCGGTTCCGACCTGAGATGGCCACCTCCAGCCAGGTCACATGACTGGGGCCACCACCACTCCCCTTCACAAGATGAACTCAGAACTTTGGAAAGACGAGCTATAGAGCAAAGCAATATTTATGGATGCAACATTGTGTGGTCAACCCTCAGGGGAAAACTGTTACCTAAAAGTATTTTTTATAAATGTAAGCCTTTTATATTGATCATGTCTTTATATTTGTATCAATGTTTTATTATTTCTATTAAATAGTTCTATAATTCACTCAAGCACTGAAATCTTGGAAATACATGTACCTGCATACAAATTTTAAAGAGAAGGAACTTATTCTACTTTGGAACTTGTTGTTAGGGAAGAGAAAAAAAATCTTGCAGATAAAACAAACTGAAGAAACCTCATGAAATGAATCCACCAAGCTGGGCACACTGCAAAAGCACCAAGGATATGACTAGACCACCTAAGACATTTATTCCCCATTGTTACCACCTGAAGTCAAGTTCAGAGAGCTTGAAGCATCGGTGTTTTCTCTTCTGGACCTCTCACTGGGAGATTCTCAGCAGGAACCAGGGCGGAAAGCTTGGTTTCCTCCCAGCAGATGCTCTATGCCGCCCTGATGCATGTGGTAGGCACTGTACCCTCCTCTGGAGCCAGCAAGTGCTGGATGGACAACTGGTCAACCTCAGAATAGCATCTCATCCTAGACAACATACACCAGAGTTCAGAGCCCAGGACTGAAGCTGTGCTCTCAGCAAAAACCTGTGTCTCTGTGTGTAAGCTGTTACCTTGTGGTATAATGTTAGCACAAGGCTCTCTGTTTCCTCTGTCACTCTTGCTGTCCCCAACTGGTGGTGCTGCAGATATCTTCCCAGAGAGGATCACCCGACACGGTTTGTGTTTATGTCTTAGGTGGAATTCTCAAGAGTCAAACCCTGAAATGGGACTTGGGTGCAAATAACTTATTGAGGAAGTCTTCTGAGAAGGTAGCAGTGAGGAATTTCAGAATACAAGACAGGAGAGTACGGGGAGCCAGGCAACAGTGTCCCTTCAGGGCACAGCCCATGAGATGGCTTCAGACCAGTTAGATCCAGTGGGCTAGTCAGGCTCAGGAACCTGGACTTTTGTGATTCCCACACCTGCAGGTGATATAAACTTTCTGCCCTTAGTTCTTGCTGACAATATGACTCTGTCCTCTAGAGGAGAACTTTGGGGGCACCCTCAAGTAAGGAGATCCAGAAATCATGCTTAGAACTCTGAGCCAAGAGCTTTGGCGCCCCCTTCCCCCCACAAAGTGAATGCTACCTTCAGCTTTGTGTAATCAAAAAAGCCATGAGTCTAAGCTGGTCCTAGAAGTCAAATGTTGCATCTGACCGTGGAATAGAGACAGTGGTCACTACATGGAATGGACAGCCCAGGAAACTAGTTAGTGCACACCCAGTTCTTAAGTTTTATCAAAAGAAATAAGGAAAGAAGTCTTGGCTTTACCAGCCATGTGCATCTTGGTCTGTGGGTGAGGCACTGTGCTGGATGTTGGTGGATCCCCTGAGAACACAGTCACCTCGTGTCTAAGGGTGGTAAGCCCTCCCACAATAGGTATGGAGTGTAGATTCTTTATGAACCCCATTTGCAGCTGTCTATGACGATCGTTGAATTGTGTCGTGGTTTCCTTTACTAAATCATTTGAGAGTCAGCTGGTGAGACCACTACAGAACCGTCTGCAGTTATAGCCAAAATGCTTCTGTCCCCACTGGCTTACTTCCTGCAAAGGGCTTGGCTGCACCGGTGGAGACCGATGACTCATGTACACACCTCAGCTAGCCAGCAGAGCCACACCTGAGAAAGCATGGAAGGCAGGAAGAGCAGACTCAGCTGCAGTCTGGCCACTTGCACCTGATCTCAAATGGTGAAACCTCACGAATAGTCATGTGCTCAGAAGGTCACTACAACTTCAGGAGGCAGATTTTAAGAAAACTGTAATGGTATCTCTGAAAGCAAATCCTAAAAAGCATTGTAGGGGAGAGGAGGCCTCTCTGCTTATGCTGAGTGCTAGAGTGTGGCTCCAGGCACAGAGGCAGGGAATCAGGTGGAGCATTGTCTTGGAATTCTTTCAGCTGGGTAGTTCAGCATCTCCATGCCAGTCTTCTGCAGGCAGTGGGCAGGTGGGTTGATGTGCCTGTGTTACCTCTTTCTAGGACATTCTTTTTTAAAAGCCCACTGCGTAGCCCGTTGCATCCTTCCGCTGCCTCTGAGTTCATTCTGCAGACATTCTCCAGGGAGCTATCATTTGTTTGCTTCTCTTTTTTAGTTGTGTCTTCTGTGGTTTTAACCAGCTCAAGAAAGTCTAGAGCATCCCCAAAGTGTGCCCTACCACAAAGAGGCTATGAAATGTAAACAGAACACCAGCAGGAGGGACCTGGGAGCTGGTCAATTGACCAGAGCACACCCTGTGTCCCCCGTCACTGACTCAGGCAATGCTTTGGGAAAGCACCTCGGGGCTCAGCAGTCTGGCAGGTTGCATGAAGTCATCTGTCCTAGTCCCCCCTCCATCCATCCTTTGGCGTCCCCACCACCCACCACCCTACCCTCACCCCCACACACCAAGTATCACATGCCCTACTTCTCTAAATCCAAAGGCAAGGGAATTCTCAACAAACAGCGTACTGTTGAGACACCTCAGTGACCAGTGACCCCTGTTGTGTGCTACCTGTTGAGCCCCAGTATGGTGAGTGTAGAAATGTTATCCACATTTATTTAAGGATGAGACAGCTTTATACCCAATTACCTGAGAAGCATAAACCTAGGAAAGGAATGCGTAATGTCAACTTCCTGAAATTTAGAAGTACTACAAAGCATTGTCATGTGATGGGTGGAATAGGACACAGCTTGCCCGACACACAGGAAGCAATGGGTTCATTCTCTGATAACCCTGCCCCCAAATATCATGTGGGGAAACTGTCCCCTTGATAAACAAAAGGCAGAAACCAAATATTCTCAGAATGATTTAACAGTTCCTCGAGAACATAGAATTTTAATAGATGTGGGTTTTGGTTCTGGAGTCTTATATTCTAAGATACTGACTGAAGGGAGGCTGCAGGGCCCCTGGGGCCCAGTGAACCTTCTAGAACCGGCAGAGTGATGAGTAAATCCCCCCACCCCTGGTGTGGTGCTCTCTACAGCTGATCTGCATTTCAATCTGTTACAGTGTTTGGTTTGCTTTGTTTGACCCCAGTGTGCACAGTGTGATTGTGCACAGTGTGATTGGCGGTGTGAGTTTAAGCTTCCTGAGTGGTTTGTTGCATGACGTGCACCTCTGCTCTCTGCATGCCTGCAGCTTTACTGAGACTCAAGTGTGCACACGCGCGCGCACACACACACACACACACACACACACACACACACTGCCCGAGAGGATTTGGAGTAGGAAGGCTGTCTTTCCTCACTGTGTCTTGTGAATTCATGTCCATTTCTGCGGTCACTTCTGAATCACTTGCACTGTTTGGGAGATGCCAGGTTTACAAAAATAAGTGTTTGGAATAAAACAAAATATGGCTTCAAATGATCCCAGTGTGTCTGACTGTGATTTCTTTGCTGCTAAGAACTTCATAAGGGACTGAAGAGGAATTCCAGTATAATGCAGTGTGAGCACTAAAGAGCACACCAAGGGCTGCCGACTCTCATGGGAGCACCCCACGTGATGGGGCTGAATCTGCCCTTAATACATAATTTGGACACTACCACCTATGTGTGTTGCCTGCCTGCCTGGGGCTGGACCGGTGTCTGTCTAGAAAGAAATAACAGCTCATTGAAATGGGTGTTCCTCATCACAAGCAGACCTCTTCCACATGTATCTAATTTAAGTCATTAAGCATTTTCCCAGGCTATCCTCAAACTTGTTTTGTAGCCAAAGATAGCCCAAATTGTAATCTTTCTGCCTCTATCTCTAGAGTACTAGGATTACAGGTGTGTGCCACCACCTCTGGTGTTTTGAAGGCAAGAATCTCATTCTAAGCAAGATTCCGCCAGCTGTGCCAACATGCTCAACCCCCCTGTAAGCTTTCTGCCAGCCCTCTTGCACATTTACAGACATTTCCTTAGATTTTAAATCTCTATTTGCTAGCTACAGCCTCATTCTTATCACACATGCTTTTAACTTGTGAATTATTTTTTTCTTTTTTTCCCTAAATATTACTAACAAAGATCTACCTAAAATGTTGCTTGCTTTCAAGAATAAGCTTCTGGCTCTATCCAGTCTGGGTTTTGCTTTCTAGTTCATCAATCACAATTTTCATGCATACAAGTATGTTCTCTACAGCCATCATTGTTAACTTTACCCAAGGGCTGGCCAGCTGTCTTGGTGGGTAAGCACACACACACACACATGCACACACATGCACACACACATGTACACACACATACACATGCACACACATACACATGCACACACATACACATGCACACACACATGCACACACATACACGTGCACACACATACACATGCACACACATACACATGCACACACACACACTGCTCTTTTTTTCCTCTCATGACTCATTCATGGGCTCATGTTCTTCATGCGGCTCCTTATTTATTTACTGTTGGCTGGTGGTTGGTGACTTCCCTTAGAAAGTTCTTTATGGTAATTCTTTGAAGCCTAGGATGACATATGTTCCTGCAGAGAGCACTTGCCTTCACCTCTGCCAGGCTCCCGTCTGGCATCAGGCCTTGGGGTTTTAATGGACCACCCATGGAATGGGTACAGCAAGTCCATTCCAAGGCTAGCCCATGCCCTTTCTCCACAGGGTGGGATCCAGAGCCCCCACACAGCCCTGTGCTCTGCTCTACACCACCAAGAGCCTCGGTCCTCCAGAGTACTGACCAGGGGCAGAATGCTTATTTCTGATTGGCTCTTTCATCTGTTCATTTATTTATTCATGATTCCGAATTTGACTATGTAGCCTGGGCTGGCCTGGCACTGGAATCCTCCCGCCTGGACCCGTAAAGTAATAAAATCAGTTGTGTGCCTCCATGCCTGCCACTTTATAGGCCACTGATCCCTGCAAGGCCATGAAAGCTCAACTTCTGCTTTGTAGGTGTGTGTGTGCAGGGAGATGTCACATTTTTACTATAAAGCAACAACAGCGAAAGAAAACTAAGCGTACAGAAAAGTAGAAAGAATTTTAAGTAAACACCAAGTCCTTGGCATCTAGATTCACATCCCCATTTTATTCCATGTGCTTTGTCATTTCTCTACCAATCTTCTTTCCACACACTCATGTTTCATGATATTCAACGAAAGTTAGCTGCAACGCATTCTCCTCTGGACGTCAGTAGATTCCTGCTGTTTGACCGGCAGTCATATTTTTCACCCATGATGTCTATTAGATTCTTTTGGAATCTGCTCGGATGGTTTCTAGTTTTTTCCCTCTATATAAACACGTTTATCATTCATTTCTTTAAACACATGAAGCTTTCATGAACCGCACGCCACTCCCGAGGGCTGAGGTCTCTGTTGCCATTTGTTCCACTGCCCCCAAACGCGAGTCTATTTCCCTCATATTTTTTTAACCTTAAACCATTTCTCGTCTTCCTCAGAATGTATCTGTTGGAATTTGAAATGGTTTCCCCCAGAACGTTTCCATTTGCTTCTGCAGGACGTCCAAGGGACTCAATAACTGGTACTGTTTTAAATTAAATCCTCGAGGCTCCCGGCCCACCCAGCTGGTGAGCAGTCAGACTTTCAGACTTTCAGAGAAGTTTCTTCTCCTGTCCAGTGCCAGAGTTCTAGTTTGCCACTAGCTTGGTGTCCTTTGAAGGGACAGCAAGAGATGACTTGTGACTCCACCTTGCCACTGCACTTTCCTGTCTCAGACCTATAGAAAGGAGACACTCCAGGTTCCTCTCCTTGACTGGTCCAGGACTGTATCCAGTGCCTGCTCTCCCTGGTGAAACAGACACTGAAATTCAAGTGGGCTTTACCGATGCTTTATACTCTTGCCATTTCATCAGTAATTTACAAATACAATGTTTCAACTTTTTAAAAATCACATTTGTTTATTTATTTAGTATCTGTGTGTGCATGCATGCATGCCAACGAGCAGGCATGTAGACCACAGCATACATGTGGTAGTCATCAGTCAATTCACAGAAATTTTTCTCTCCTACCACATGGGCTCCAGGGATTGAACTCTGGTTGTCAGGCTTGGCAGCAAGCCTCTCTACCCACTGAACCCTGTCAGCAGCCCTCAGTGTTTCCTCTTTTGTTTTCAAATATTTTTCTATATATCTGCGTTTGCTATATTTAATCTAATTGGGGCTGGAGAGACGGCTCAAGATAAAGAGTGTGGGCTGCTCTTGCAGAGGGACTAAATATGGTTCTGAACACAGAAGTCTCAGGACTGCCTGTAATTCCAGTTCCAGGGGTCTATGCCTTCTGCTGGCCTCACATGCACACACACACACATACACACACACACAGATATTAAATTTTTTACATTTTGTTTGCCTTTTTAAAAATTTTTGAAACAGGATCTCACTGTATATCCCTGATTGGCCTCAAATTCTGAATGTAGGTAGATCAAGTTGTCCTCTAACTAATAGAAATCTGCCTGCCTCTGCCTCCCAAGTGCTGGGATTAAAGGTGTGAGCCACCATGCCCAGCCAGAAAATTAAATTCTAGAAAGAAAGAAAACAAAGGAAGGAAGGAAGGAAGGAAGGAAGGAAGGAAGGAAGGAG